ACTACTGTGGGCAAGAATCTCTCAGAAGAAATGGAGTAGCCTTCATACTCAATAAGAGTAGGAAAAGCAGTAAAAAAAAAAAAGGTAACGTTTTCCCCTTGACATTAAAGTCCAGTCTTGCCTGACTCTAGGGGGTGGTGCTCATCTCCGTTTCCTAGCCAAGGGAGCCAGCGTTTGTCCGCAGACAGTCTCTGTGGTCATGTGGCCGGCATGACTAAACACCGAAGTGCACGGAACACTGTTACCTGCCCACCGAAGTGGTATCTTTTTATCTACTTGCATTTGCATGCTTTCGAACTGCAAGGTTGGCAGGAGCTGGGACGGAGCACGGGAGCTCACCCCATGTGCAGATTTGAACCGGCGACCTTTCGATCAACCAGCCCAGCAGCACAGCGGTTTAAACCACTGCAATACACGCTACTTAATCTCAAAACTATCATTAGAATTGTACAAAATGGATGTAGATTTCAGTTCATGATAATGGAACAATAGCATACACTGGTGTGGTTTTGCTAGCTTGTAAGAGATGTAACTTCTTTTCATTCCGATCTTCCCTCCCTACCCAACCCTCCACAGGATCGATATGGTTCTTAACCATTTGTATTGGCTGACTGGAAACACTGAAGAGCTTTAAAACTATGTATGTCTGCCAGTGATCATACCACAAATCTTACAAGAAAGTTGCCTTAATGATGTAGAATATTTTATTCTAATTGATATAGCACCATGTTTCCACCATGTGTTCTTTTCTGGTTCCAAGCAGCTTTCATTTAATGTAGTAACTTAACACTTCTGCTTTTATTCTGTTAGTGTTGCAGCTCCTTCTGTCTGTGTCATTATGTTGTTGCATGCTATTGCTACCACCAGTCTGTATGTTCACCACAGCCCACTGTGGTGGGTTGTGCCGCACTCTGGAATGTACCAGACATTTGAGCTATGACTCTGGTTTGTGTCATTCAAACTTGGCAAGGGTGGGTTGTGGAATGGTTAAAAAAACTCTTGCATAACCCATGGCTTGTTTTACGGTTATACGAGTTTTGTTTAACCCTTGTACAGCCCATCCCCACCAGTCTGATATGACAAGCCATAGTTGTGGCTTGAATAGTAAAAATGGCTGCCTGTATGCATTGAATTTCACCATAAATAAGCCACATTTGATTGTGGAAACCAGCTCACAGAAAAAAGCTGGTGATAACGTTGAATTAGTGTAAGGGCTGCCAGTTTATTATTCATTTATTGCCCTCCTCAACACATGGTGAGACTGGAAGTGGCCATCAGTCTTATGTCATTCCTTTCCACCGTGTTTAAAAAAAGATACCTGGATCAGGTAATCGATGTGCGAGTTTCTCTATCAAGCTATTTAACCCACTATAGAGGTTCCAATATAGGTTTAAGGGAGGCCTCATGAGTAATAAAGTGATCCTCTTGTTTTGTATATTCTAGGGCTGAGGGAATAGTGGAGAAATGACCAAGGAATGCTTCTAATTTTGCTGCACATACATGAGAAAGGGGAGACCTTTACGCAGGTCCACAGAATAATTAAACTGTTACTGATTTTGGTAGACTCAAGTGTGTTTAACTGCATCAAATTCAGGATACGTTGATAGCCTTAAGGAAATATTGATAAATCTTTACATGACAGGAAATGGCAGTTAATCGCTACATAGTTTAGAATGAAAGTAAAATAGTCTTTTAAGCATTGATCTTTCATGTAAACATGTTTTCTTAGAAGAAATAGAAGAAATGTGTGGTATGTTTAAAAGATGTCATCTTGATCAACATTTTATTTATTGAGGAAAAAGGCAGGATATAAATTGAAAAATAAAATAAAAAAAATAAAAAAATAACATTTAAGATCTTTTCCGAATTGTAATCTAAACTCCTTAAATGCTTTTAAGCAATCAATATACTGTATAAAATGAAGAATGAAGTATATATATGGGGTGGGAGCAAAAATATGTATAAAAATTGCTTGGATAGACTAGTCTACTAAGTCATAAGAATTCTAGCATGAACTTGTGGATTTAAGATCAAAATACTGAATATGTGCATAGAAGAATATGGTGTGGCTGTGTTTTAGACAGCCTAGAACTATAACCATTTAAAGCAAATTGAATTGAAAAGAGGCCAGAAAAGTTCTGTAGCTTTTTTTTTTTTGAACAGCTGCCATTTCAACTTAATAAAATTTCAAATAAATTGAGTTATGAAAGTTTCTGCTGCCTGTTTGGATTTTATATTACATTAACTGTCACATCTATTTTGTTCCATGGTAGCCAGAGGTGTGTAAGGGAGTGTGTGTGTGTGGGTGCTGTTCAGTCATGTTAGAGGCTCCTGATCCTAGCTTCTCTGGGCTTCAACCTTCATAGAAACATATAAGTAATTAGTTCCTTAGGATTCTAAGGAAGTGCCCTACTCCATATGGTTTGGAAGGCCCCTTGACCTTCCAGAAAGAGTGCAGGAGTCACAGTACAAGGGACAGAAGGGCACTGGTAATGGTGGGCAGTATCTAATAGCGATCAGTTGCATATTTATTTATTTCATTTTTATATTCCCCAGTAGCTGACACTCTCTGGAATGTTAATAAAAGTTACAATTAAACATTAAAAAGACATACATGTTAATTAAAAAAATTAAAAGCCAAACAGAACCATAACAGCAATTGGAATTGCTATGATACAGAATAGAGGCATGGCAGTGGAACAGAATAAAATGGAATATAGAGAATCAAATTGTATAAAGTTAAACTTTCAGAATACTGGAATAATAAAAAAAGGTCTTTACCTGACACCAAAAAGAATACAAAGAAAGAAGCAGGTGCACCTCTTTGAGGATCTCACTCTACAACCAAGGTGCCACAACTGAAAAGGCCATCCTCCTGCTGGCCACCTGCATCAATTCCTTTGGAAGGGCTCCTAGAGAAGGACCCCTGAAGATGACCTCAGGGTCCAGGTGGGTACGTATGAGAGCAGGTGATCCTTCAGATAACCTGGTCCCAAGCTGTTTGTTGAATGTGAGTACGAGCGTCGGGTTCAGAATTCAACTAGCAGCCAGTGCAGCTGGAAGAGGACTGGCAATATGTTCTCATGAGTCATTCCCCAGTAACAAGTCTTGCTGCCCTGCTTTGAATTAGTTGAAGTTTCTGGACCATTTTCAAAGGTAGTCCCACATACAGTGCATTGCAGTAATCCAAACAAGAGATTACTAAAGCATAGATAACAGTAGCTAGGCCCTCTCTCAAGGTAGTGGCATTGTTAGTATATCAGCTTAAGTTGTTCTGTGCCACCAAGTCCACTTTTGCCTCTATTGACAACTCTTGAGTTCAGGAGCTTGCCCAAACTACAACCTCATCCTTTAAGGGAATGCAACTCCATATAGGACAGGTTGAATAACACCCAGCTGGAGAGATGAACCACCCACTAACATCACCTCCATCTTGTTTGGATTGTGTCCCAGTCCATTACCAAGCCCAAACACTGATTCAGAGAAGCCACTGCCTCACCTGAGTTGATGAAGGGGTAGAACTGAGTGCCCTCTGCATATTGATGACACCTCAGCCTATCCCCCAGATAAGCTCCTCCAGCAGTTTCACATCGATGTTAGACAACATAAGGGATAAAATGGAACCCTGTGGTACCCCAAGGCATAATTGCCATGGTGCAGAACAATAATCCCCCAGCACAACCTTCTGGAATTGGTGAAGTAGCAACAGAACCACTGCAATGCAGTGCCTCCAACCCCTAGCCCAGCCAACCTATCCAGAAGGATACCATGGTTGATGGTACCGGAAGCCTCTGAGAAATCCAGGAGAATCAACAGAGTTGCACCACCTATCTTTCTTCTGGCAAAACTCATCTCAGGTAGTTTCCACTCCAAAACCAACATTGAAGCCTGATTGAAATGGATTTAGATAATTGGTTTCATTAAGAGTGCCTGGAGCTGTTCAGGTGCCATGGACACATTTCCAGTCCTGTCAATTTCCTTGTTGAAGTGGCCTGCACTTCTTGCATAATAACGCTTTAGCACTTCTGAAGGCAAACTGGAAAGATTGGAAACACTTGTTTCTAGAATGGGGCAAGTTAGCAGAGCTCATACAAGAGAGCTGCACTGGCTTGTACCCTTCCAAAAATGAACATTTCCCCTCATTTTGGGGCTTGCCACCAGAAACATTAAACTGCCATTCAGGGCTACAGTGGAATTAGCAAGACTGCTCTCAGTATGTATACTACAAGTTAGGAAAGGTAGCATGAAGTCCAAGAACATAGTTAATGAGCAGTGTCAAAGAAGCTATTAAAGAAAAGGCTTCCTTCAGAAACTAGAAGTCTTGTCTGAATGAGGAAAATAAAAGGGAGCACAAGCTTGCACAAAGGAGATGTAAAGAGACAAATAAGAGATGCAAGAAAGCATCATTTTCTGACAACTCAGTGGCCAAAAATAAAGTTTTATTTAAATATATCAGAAGCAAGAAACCAGCTAGAGATGCAGATAGACCACTGGATGATAATGGAATTAAAGGAGCACTAAAGGAGGAAAGGATATTGCAGAGACACTGAATAAACTTTCCATCTGTCTTTACAGTACAACTGTGATTACCAACCTACAGTATGTGTACATCCAGGGGTATGAACCAGGACATTCAGGGGTACATGAAAAAAATTGAATAATGGCGGGAAACTCTTTTGAGTTTTGAATGTGAATATATATGCACTACCTGCTCACATTATTCCATTGCCTTTTAATCCCATTATTGAGCTATTTATTTACAGTTACAGCATATACATTTGAAATAATAGCAACTATATTAATTAGAAACATTTGCTAATATGAAGAGTATGATTTATGGAAATGAGTTGCCATGGAGTACATAAGAGAAAAAAGGTTGGAAACCATTGCAGTAGAGGATACAAGACAGATATCTGTTCTGAACTTAATTCAGGAAGGGAAATAGAAGAATTAAGGCAGACAGAACTAACAAACTATGAAATTTTCAATCTTACTAACATATGGAAAGTTAATAAATCACTTGACCCAGATGGTATCCACCCCAGATTCTTTAGCACAAGTTCAAATCTAAAATTGAACTTCCTACAAAATAGATACTATGCCCCTAATATCAGCCACTATACCAGACAACTGGAGAATGGCCAATGTTACACCAATTTTTTAAAAGGGAACTGGGGCGAATCAGAAATTACAGGTCAGTTAAGTGTAATGACTTTTTGCGCAAATGGTCTGAAGGCATTATTAAAGCTAGAACTACAACAGAGGGGCAAGAAAAACTATCAGCATGCCTTCTGCAAAGGTAAGTGCTGGCTCACTTAGTAGTTGTGGAGTAAGAGAGAAGATCCTCAGTAACTGGTTAAAGCAGTGTTCTTCAACTGCTGGTCCGCGGACTGGCACCGGTCTGCCGGAATTTCCAGCCGGTCTGTGAAAGAATCTCTGCCATGTGCGCTCATGACAGCGGGATCTCGCTGGCTAGGGACCAGCAGGGGGCTCGCTTTGCAAGTGCTGCAGATTCCTCCCAGGGAGGGGACAGGCAGCTCAAGGGGAGCCAGCCAGAAGCTGGGGCACACTGGTGCCCCTCTGGGCAGGACCGAGACTGGACCTGTTCCTTTCTCTGCTGTATTTTCTGATGAGAAGGGAAACTCTTGAGTTGGGCTTGTGCAAAACGTTTTTCAGCCAGTCTGTGCTGGTGTGCATGGGGGTTGCGGGGGAGGGTTCATTGTATTTCAGTATTTAACATTATGGATATCGTATTATGTAACTTTGTTTGATTTTGTATTGCTCTGCTGTTAATATTGTATTTGAATTTGCTATGAGCATAGTATTACATTCATATTGATTTTTTATTTTGCTACTGTAAAATTTTGATCAAGTATTCTTGAAAAGAAGCAACAGCAGATTTCTCAGTAGCCTTATCTGAATTACATATTGCTCTCTAAACATTTCAGTTGTACTTGTTTACATTCAATTTCAATATTATATTCTTTTATTAGCATTTTTATTGCTCAGTTTCTGGTTATTTTAGAAAATTCTTTATTTTTGGTACTATATTTAAAACCTAATACACAAAATACTATATTATGTCTATAATGCTTTTTATTTCTGCCTCAGTGGTCCCTGAAATAATTTTACTATTTTTGCCAGTTCACAACTGTAAAAAGGTTGAAAACCACTGGATTAAAGTATAGAAAGCAGGGAGTGGGAATAAATGGCCCTCTCTCTCAATGGAGTGATGTAAAATTGGGGTCCCATAGGTTTCTATGTTAGCATCAATACTTTTCAATCTATTCATAACCGATCTGGAAGTAGGAGTGAGCTGAGTTTGCTGATGGCACCAAACTATTTAGTGTGATTAAAGCCAAAAGGGATTGTGAGGTGTTTCAAAAGGATCTCTTTAAGCTGGGAGAATGGGCATCAACATGGCAAATGCAGTTCAGTGCAAGCAAGCATAATGTAGGTTGGGATCAAATAGAAATCCCAATTTCAAGTATAAGCTGGCAGGATTTAAGATATGAGTGACTGATCAAGAAAGGGATCTTGGGATTGTAATGGACAGCTCGATGAAAATGTCAACCCAGTGCACAGATTTTGTGAGAAAGGCAAGCTCCATGTTAAGTATAATTAGGAAAGTAATTGAAAATAAAACTTTCCAAGATCATGCTGTCCCTTATATGGCCTTTATGTCTATGTACACCAGTTGCTGGGGAACTAAGGCAGGAGGGGCTGCTTTACTTATAACCTACTTGAGGAATCCCATGAGAACTGAATTACATTGTCCAGTACAAGATGTGCTTCCCTGGGGAAACTCTGAGTGAAAAGAAGTCAGCTGCAAAGCATTTCCTTAGTCTTATCAGGTCACCATAGAAAACAACAGCATAAGCTACACTTAACTGTACTGTCAAAATGATTTAAAAAACAAGAACCCCGAATGGTTTTCACTGCACAATTTGGATTCAAGAATCCAATTCAAGAATATTTGATTATATCCAGAAGGTTTATTCATAAGCCTTTCTGGGGAGCTAGTGTGGGCTGAAAAGTAAGATGTAAACATAAGGTATGTGTGAGGAAGCAGTATGGGGGAGAATAATCAAATCATGTAGGTGGAAAGGGCCTAGAAGGCTGTTGAGTCCAACCCCTGGTTCAATGCAGACTCAGACCTCCCATCCAGATTCTAACCAGGCCTGATCCTGCTTTGCTTCCAAGATTAGGCAG